CATCCACTCACCCATCCACCCATCCATCCACCCACCCATCCATGCACCCATTTTTCCTTCCATGTATGCAAACACTCATTGAACACACTACTTTTTAGCAGGCACAGGGATAACGAAATGACTAAGAAGGCACATCCACCCACTGGCTATTTAATCTAATGGGGGAGATAACGTAAAAAATAGGTGGGACCTATGACCACAATTCTCAGAAGAAAGTTATGGAAATCCAGAAGACAATTCATATTTATCATGCCCACAACCTTGTTTTGTTCATCGTTAAGTTCCCAGAACATACTATGATACCTAGCATGTAGAAGTGCTCAAAAACTCTCACTGGATAGGAAGATGGATGGGTGGGTGGATGGGTGGGTGGGTGGGTGGGTGGATGGATGGGTGGGTGGGTGGATGGATGGGTGGATGGATGGATGGATGGGTTGGTGGGTGGATGGGTGGGTGCGTGGGTGGGTGGGTGGGTGGGTGGATGGGTGGATGGGTGGGTGGATGGGTGGATTTGGTTGGGTGAGTTGATGGCGGATGGGCGGATGGCAGTGAAGGAGCACCTGACGTGCATGTCACACCATCCACCTGGGGAATGTTCACAGGAGGGTTATTCCATTATTCAGATGGTTAGTAATAAGACCTTATGACCTAAACTATCTCATTCCATTCAGCCAAACAGTTTTAATTAAAGCAGCAAATGAGCTTTGGGGGTTTTTACCAAATGAAGGGCTTTGGGACCCACCTGGTCTCCTTGAGACAAGCAGTGAGCGGCCTGTCTGGAGCTATGATGTAGCAGCTCTGACACTGCTCGTTCCTTTATGTCTTCATTCAAGCGGCAGCGTTGTCTGTGCCCTGTGACAGTGGCTAGTACAGTGACCCTGTCTGATGGTTGAATCCACTGGGCAGCTGGCGAGCTCCTACCAACAGGTCTGGGGACACTTTCTACTCATAGGAGAGGACTAAGGACCCCAAGATGGCTACAGCAGCTCCGCGCTGAGGATTATGGGATTTCTTTGGGGGAAGTAAGGTTTGAGTCCACTTGTAGGGTACAAGGTCACAGATCTCAGAACAGTGGGCAGGTGGCGGTGGTCAGGAGAGGCCACCTGGAGGAAACCTTTGTTTTTAAACTTGGACTGGAAGCTTCCTTTCTTAACCTGAAGTCTAGGGATGAGGGTTTGAGGTCTCCATGAGCGTGAAATGGCAAGCAAAGATCCAGAAAGGGGCAGAGAGCCTCTCTCACTCTCTCTCCATCTCTCTTGGCCTCGTCTCCCCGTCCCCGACTCTGTCACACAGCGGACGAGTGGCAGATGCGTCTGGACTGCGCCCGTCTGGAGAATGAGTTCCTCAGGAAGCGTCTGCAGCAGTGCGAGGAGAGGCTGGACTCAGAAGTGGCCTCACGGAAGGAGCTGGAGCAGAAGGTAAGAGGGCGGCCACCGTCCTGACCCCAGGGGCACCGCGGAGGACGCAGGGTCTCACCCCCACCGTGGGTGACCCGAGAGAGAGAGAGAAAGAGGGCCCCAGCCAAAAGTCCATGTTTTCCCAACTCTGCTGTCGTCACAAGCGCCGGCCACCGTGGGGTGTGGAAAATACTCCCCAACCCATGGGGCTTCTGCCCGAGACGGGTGTCCACGCACACGGGACCCGGTCATCGGCTCGGGTTGTCTGAGCTCCAGGTCCCTTTCTGCCGGGACCTCGTGGGATCACGTCACCTCTTGGGCCTCGGATTCTCTCCTATAAAGTCATTCCCACGGCCTCCGTGTGCCCACTGCCTCCGCACCGGTCTCCCTGCCTCCAGCCTCTGTCCCCAGCCTCCCGCCACAGGCCAGGCCCCGCCGGGAGACCCGAGTGGCTTTCGGATGGCGGCTGCACGACCTGCACACTGACTCCCGGGGTGGCGGTGTCTCTGCGGTTGCTTTGTAAACTTTGATGGCCGCCGTTCTCAGTCGCCCTTGGCCATGGCGTTCTTCCCCTTCTCCGACCCCGGTGACGGGCGTGTGTGTGTGCAGCTACTTTTCTTGAGTTCGGGTTCATCCAATTTTCAGTTTTAACTGGGTCCCTTTGGCACCGGGGTGTGGGAGTGTCCCCCGGAGGAGGCACCTGCGCGCTGGCCTTTCCCCGAGATGACGCCGTGTGTTTTTGCGATGGATGAAGAGGTGTTTTCTGAAGCCACCTTGGGTTTGGCTTTCTCACGGACGTTCTTCCTCCGGCACCCGGTGGCCGGCGCCTTCCTCGTCCCTTCTCACCCGGGCACAGCTCTGTGCGAAGGTCTCGGTTCTGATTCCCACCGTCCACAGGCCCCAGGCCTCATCTCCTGTGTCCGCCTGTCTGGACATCTATGCAGGAACCTCTCCCCTTAGGGACACCTCGGATCTGTCATCCTGGCCATCGTAACATCTGCCTTCACTGTTCTGCCTCCGATTTCAAGTGCAATGTCGTAGCTGGGCGCCTTGGCTCACCCCTGAAATCCCAGCTACTCGGGAGGCAGAGATCAGAAGGATCGAGGTTCACCAGACCCTATCTCGAAAAACCCTTCACAGAAGAGGGCTGGTGGAGTGGCTCGAGGCGGAGGCCCTGAGTTCAAATCCCAGTACAGAAAAAAAAAAATACTAGCCTGTACCACAGTGTCACTGAGCAAGCCTGGATGAACAGACAGCTAGTTCTGCCCGGTCTGCAGTCTGACCATGGGGTTCAAATGGCCCCTCAATTTGCAGCCCTTTCCAGTCCCCATGGTCCCTCCAGGACCCATTTGAAATCACTATTGTGGTGTTGCCAGACGTAGAATTTGGAAGATGCACAGAACTGGCTCTGGAAAACTGGTGGCCGGCGACCCCAGCCCTCCACCGACTGCAGCCGCACTCTGTCCCCACTGGGCCTTTGCAGGGCCGGTTCTTCTCCCTGGCCCTCGTTCCATCCCTTCCCCGCCTCGGTGTTCCCCAAGCTAACCCGTGTTAGCATCGCTGTCCCCCCAGCAAAGCTGAGTCCAAGCTGCGGTCCCACAAATCTGTCCGTCTGCTCGCGTCTGTTTCCCCTGGGCCCAGTGACGGGAGAGACCGGGGTCTCAACGAGAGAGAAGAGCGTCCTGGGAGCCCTAGCAGAGGTGGGGAGGGGACCCTAGAAACAACGGAGCAAGGGTCCATGTTCTCCGTGGCGGTGGTGGTGGACGCTGTAATGGTCACCTCGGAGATGGCCGTACTCTCGCTCTTCTCAAGGACCCCGTGAGGCGTAGTGCGCACGGGAAGCAGCCCAGGTCGTTAGTGACAGACTGTGAAGCCGGGCGGGCGGCTGTCCGAGGACGAGGGACAGTGAGGAACTTGCAACTGTCCCTGAGCGGCCGGGGGTGTGGACGGACATCCGCGTGTCCTCAGATCCCAAGCGTGAATCCCAGCGTCCTAACCTGAGCTCTGCGGACTTCCAGCTTCTTTAATGAGGCCGAGGCTTCAAAGTGAGCGAGCTGAGCCTCACTCTTCCCGATCTAAAGCAGGACGCAGGGGAGGGGCGGGCTGCTGCAGGAAGATGCAAAACGCCTGGCGGGTGTGCTCAAGGCCAAGTGCAATACCACCGCGCAATGCCACTGCAGTGTCACCTGTGCATGTCACCTGTGCATGTCACCCGTGCAGTGTCACCCATGCAGTGTCACCTGTTCATGTCAACCGTGCAGTGTCACCTGT